AAAAAAAAAAAAAAAAAAAAAAAATCAAGAAATATATTAATTTTCCGTGCATTGAGGAATTATTCAATCAGCAAATCAGAGCTATCAGCAGGTGAGGGTATATTCTAGTCATGCATAGTCCAATGGATATCTTTGTTTATTTACCCACAAAGTTTCGTTGTTTTTCTTAAATAGAGAAGAGGAAGCTCAAAGGGGCAAGAATGTGTTCACACTGACAATGGCAATTTACCAGGGGTAATTCGATTTAGATGATTGTTGAGCTGCTGCTTTTGTGCGGAGCGTTCCTCACCTGTACTTCTTTTTCACTTTTTTGATAGGAGTATACAAGAACAGAGATGTATGTATGTATGCTATATACATTTGGGTGTATGTATGGGGTTGATTTCATTAAAACTTTTGTATAAATAACAACAGGAGGGAGTGACTGTGACTGTGACTGTGACTGAGTCGGTGCCTGCGACTGCGACTGCGACTGCGACTGCTACAAGCCGCTGAGCTGAAGCAAAATGTCATTATTGCTGCTTGAAGTGTCCTTGTGTCCCCTTATATCCTTACACATCCTTGTCGATGGCCTCATCTAGCGCAATGCATGGCCACACAACATACTCACTGAACCACTCAGCCCAATGTCTTACTCACGGTGTGTGGCTCTGAGCGTGTGTGTGTGTGTGTGTGTCAGCTAGAGATGAGTCGAATTTCAAATAACACGAGCAATAATAATTATTTTTTCTCTTATTTCTGAATTTTTCGTTTGGTTATTTTTATTTATTTATTTGAAAAATGGAATAAATTTAATTTTCAAATTCTGCTTATACAGTTTTCGATTTTTGTTCTTAATTATTAGATTTTATTCTTAAATTAAAGCAAATTAAAATTTATTAGTGTCAGTCTTGCTGTCTGCCCGTCTGTCAAGCCATTTTTATGGTATTGTTATAGAAGTTTGAGATTTGAAATCTAGAATATATACTCAAGGAAACCTCATCTGATAAAGTGCTATAATTTTACCGATGTGCTTATGGGGGCGTGGCAGATCGGAAAAATGATCCGGTAGCGTTTGAGTATTCTGTAGTCTGTAACTCCCGTTATCAAAAT